AATTCTGAGACGCCCGGGGTTTGTGATGGCAATGGAAACAATTTAGGAAATGGATAAGGTCTGTGAGGACCAAAGGGAAGTCATGAAATAAGTTGAGCGGTTGAGCAAAAAGCGGTTTGGGTAAGTGGTGAAGAGGAGTGTAAACAAATCAAAACCAATGAAACCGGGCAAAAAGACTGACTTCAGGTCTGCTTAAGGATAAGTGAAATATGATTGAGGGTGGGAGCATTGTTTGCCGGCCGAGGAAAGTTGGAGGCAGAAGCGAAAGGGAGAGAATAAGTTGAAGAGTGAAGGCTGTGGCAGGCGGAGAACAATTGAAACAAAACGGTGGTGAGGGAGATGAATTCGGGATTAGTACAGTGGGTCGGGCCCGGATTAAGGATTTTGTGTAGGCCAAATTGACAACTTACACTTACGGGGGGGAGGCCCCCGCCCAGGAATACAAATGGGGGATTTGCTTGTTCTGAAAGCGGCCATGAGTGTTTTGGGGAGCTATGCGATAAGCTCTGGGGCTCAGTTCTGATGGGTGTCTACGGAAAACAACCCGAGTAACCTGGGTTGGGGTATCAGGTTCTACTGAAGTGACAATGCCCAGTAAGGGAAGTCTAGATTATGTGTGCATAGCATAGTTGATTGCATTGAGTATTACCTCGTCAAAGGTGTAGTGCAGGGGCAGTGTTTTGCACTGTGTCGGTAGGAGATAGCTTAGACAAATCAATGCAGTGAGGTTTGCGTAAGGAATTATCAAAGTGTAGGCTGGGGGAGGTGCCTAATTGAGGTTGAAGTGGAGAGGAAAAAGGAAAGTCGGAACAAACATGAAAAATGGAGAAAAATAAAACAAATAGAGGACATAATATAAATAGAGTGGGTTGGCGTAAGATTTTAGCAACGCTGGGCCGCTACGCTACGCTAAAGGGCCACTTAGCGTTAGCGTAGCGGCGCTAAAACAGGCCCTTTTTTATGTAGTGTTAGCGTGCCGCTACCGCCGCTACACTGTAGCCCCGCTAACAGGCGGCTTGTTTCTGGGTAGTGTTAGCGCATCACTACAGCCGCTACGCTGCGTTACGCTGCGCTACAGCGCTTTTAGCGGCAAAAAAGGCAAAAAACCCGCTAAAAAGCGCTGTAGCGCGGCGTAGTGGGCACTTTTTTGTGCCCCAAGCGCGTAGCGTTAGCACAATTCCAACTTTCTGCGCCAACGCTATGCTAACAGCTAACGCACTTTTGTGCCCTTTGCGCGTAGCGTTAGCGCAGAAAGGTGGATTTTTCGCTAACGCTACGCTACAAAGTAGCGCATTTCCGCTGCGCTACGCCACACTAACGCTACGGTTAGCGTAGCTGGCCCAGCGTTGATTTTAGGGCAAAACAGGTTCAGGAAGAGAATGAATGTCTCTTCCGTCATTGCTATACACAATACTTGTTTTGTATTTGGGGGGGGGGGGTTGTGGTTTAACGTTTAAACAGTTGAATTGTAACATTCTTGCAATCAAATCATTTAGTTCACTGATTTTTTGTACAGACAAAAAAACCACCCTCAGCTGGTGTTGGAATTTTGATAACTTTTTACTCATTCAAAATCACATTTATTTTATATCACCAGTGA